ATATAGATGTCCTCTCACAAAATGATTTTCTTTTTAAATCCCATTTGCTTGTGTTATTTTAACACTTTTCTTGTTATTTTAATATGTAGGCCTGCTATATTAATATTATTAAAAATTTCACACCTGTAATCCCAGCACTTTGGGAGGCCCAGGCAGGTGGATCACGGGGTCAGAAGTTCAAGACCAGCCTGGCCAACATGGTGAAACCCCCTCTCTACAAAGAGAGTAATCCGGGCATGGTGGTGTGCACCTGTAATCCCTGCTACTCTGGAGGCTGAGGCAGGAGAATTGCTTAAACCTGGGGCAGGAGGAGGCAGATTTTGCAGTGAGCTGAGATTGCTCCACTGCCCTTCAGCCTGGGCAACAGAGCAAGAGTCCATCTCGAAAAAAAAAAAAAAAAAAAGATTCATGGACTTTCCTGATTATTTCATTATTATGTAGGGCTATCTAGTATTTTTATCTACCAGGAAATGAGAAATTATTTTTGCTTAGATAACACTCTGTTTACACATTCTGCTCATTTATCAATTGTCTGAAATGCATAATTGCACCCTCTTATATTTGGGTGTCATCATTGGTGTTAATTAATTGCTGCATTTATTTTTTTAAATCTGATTCCTACATGTGACCGTTGGTGCTAGACAGTTTTTACTATTCCTAGTACCAAACTATTTTTGGTACTACTGGTTTACTTACAGATCCCTGATTATACCACCAGAAAGAAAGACATGACTACATTTTGTAAACATACATATAATAAGAAAAAATGACACAAGTATAGAAAACCAAACGCCGCATGTTCTCACTCATAAGTGGGTGTTGGACAATGAGAACAGATGGACACATCGACAATGAGAACAATGAAAACACAGGAAGGGAAACATCATAAACCAGGACCTGTCGGGAGGTGGGGGGCTAGGGGAGGGATAGCAGGTGATGGGTGTATAGGGGAGGCATAGCATTAGGAGAAATGCATAATGTAGATGACAGGATGATGGATGCAGCAAACCACCATGGTATATGTATACCTATATAACAAACCTGCACGTTCTGCACGTGTACCTCAGAACTTAAAGTATAATAAAAAGAAAAGAAAGGGGAAAAAAGGAAAATACAATACCCATATATTAACTATGAAACTAATATAAATTTTTTTTATTGCATTTTAGGTTTTGGGGTACATGTGCAGAACATGCAAGATAGTTGCATAGGTACACACGTGGCAGTGTGATTTGCTGTCTTCCTCCCCTTCACCCACATCTGGCATTTCTCCCCATGTTATCCCTCCCCAGCTCCCCCCACCGCTGTCCCTCCCCTATTGCCCCCAATAGACCCCAGTGTGTAGTGCTTCCCTCCCTGTGTCCATGTGTTGTCGTTGTTCATCACCCACCTATGAGTGAGAATATGTGGTCTTTCATTTTCTGTTCTTGTGTCAATTTGCTGAGAATGATGTTCTCCAGATTCATCCATGTCCCTACAAAGGACACGAACTCATCATTTTTGATGGCTGCATAATATTCCATGGAAACCAATATAAATTAAAGATCTTCTACCCAATTTATATATTTTAATATCCTTCATTTTTTCTTTTCTAGAAAAAAAGCTAACCTTCAATAGTCTCAAATTATTCTATTTAGCCTTACTGATTACTTTTTTTAATGCTCATATTATCAGATTACCTAGCGAGAAGCCATCGAAGTTGTTTTCCTTATCTAGCCTTTCCAGACAGCCACTGACTATTTTTTTTAGGTGAACTTTGTTTTCTTGGCAACAAATGGATTGTTCCAGAAACTTTCTGTTTTGTCTTTTTTCGTTTCTTTCTTTTTTTCCCCTTTCTCTAATAAGTAAAGGACCTTGAATTTTATTAACATTATTTATTAATAGATATATGGCAGCAAGTATCCAGACTCTAGGATTGACCAATATCAGTGCTGGCTGTCAGCAAAAGGATTGTTGCTGCTATTGGTGCCTTTCAGGGAGAGACCTGGAAAAGACTGTTTTAGATTTATGAATTTACCATTGATTATTTTTGGTAACATATTGTGTTGCTGCATCTACTCTCCTTTTATTATGAGGTTTCACCAGCTTCAAAGATTCTCCTCTACACTAACAGGAGAGTTGCTTTGTAAGCACAATATCAAAGCAAAGCAATTTAGAATAAGTAGATTTAGGAAGGAATTCATCTAGACCAGTGGCAAATGGAACCCTGCTAGTCCAAGTGTCAAGTGTCACCTCCAAAAGGAGAGTAAAATTGGAACAATGTAGTGAATTTTCCAAATTTAGTTCACTTTATTGGTGTTGCTTTCTTATATGAAATCTTAGAATAGCAGTGACAGAGATTGTAATATTTCCCTGTTAAAAAAATAAAATCTTTTAAAATTTTATTTCAAACTGTGGGTGAATGCATTAATTGTCAAAATTCAAAACAGGGTTGAACAACCTACCTTGAAAACATCATGTATGCCTCTGGATCTCAGGAATTGCTGGAAATAGGAACAAGATGACATTTAAAAACTTTTAAAGTAGGTTTATTCTGGTCTTGGCTCCACAATGAAATCCATAGCCCCTATGATGACAGTGTTTTGCATCTTTCAGTATCTATCATCAAACAGACTTTTTTTCATTCCTGGGATGGTGGTTTGGTCACCAAGTTTGGTTAAGAGGTCCATCTTGGATCATTCACCAAGGAGAAGGAGTTTGGCTCATGTACAAATCTGGTAGCTCCCTTTAAAGCTACGTTGATTGGGTATGGTGGTTCCAATTAAAAAGGAGAAATGCTGTGAAAACCTTGTTCTAGAAGTTTATAATATCTAAGATATCCTCATTTGGTATAATAAAAAATGACAGTCCTATGCCAGGCATTCATTTATTTCCTTTGTTCTGTTCTTCATTGCTTTCTAAGTCTTGTTGGTTGTATTAGTTTGCCAGGGCTGCCATGACAAAATACTGCAGACTGGGTAGCTTAAACAACATAAATTTATTTTCTCACAGTTCTGGAAGCTGGAAGTCCAAGATCAAGGTGATGGCAAGTTTGGTTTCTCCTGAGGCCTCTCTCCTTGGCTTGCCTATCTTCCTTCCCTTTGTGAATTCACACAGTTCTTCACATCTCTGTGTCTTTATCACTCTCTCTGTGTGCTGTCTGTGTCCTAATCTCTCCTTCTTATAAGAACACCAGTCCCATTGCAGTGCCCACCCATATGACCTTGTTTAACCTTTATTCTCTCTTTAAGGGCTCTGTCTCCAAATGCAGTCATATTCTAAAGTGTTGGGGGTTAGGATATTTTATAAATTTTGGAAGGATACAGTTAAATCCAATGAATTCAAAATCCAAGTGTAAAATTACTTACCCCCATTAGAAATTGGATAAATTACTATGCCTTCACTATAATATGTATTTTTGACTAATATATTATTGACTCCCTGATTAAGATTCTCTCATGTGGATAGTTTGATAAACACTCATATCAGTGTTTTCACAAAAATCTCCTTTTTAAAAACTCTCACTTCTCTACAACTTCAATTATGTTTTGTTGTTATTTTAATCTTTGTTTTGCAGTTTTAGTATGACAGCATATCTTTTGTTGCCTATATTTTCTCATATTTTTAATGTATATAGGTAAGTAACTTAATCTCACTGAACTATCGCCAACACTGTATGGAACAGAGCTTCCAATAAGCAAGTGTAATTCTTTATAGTTTAAATTATTCATGACCTTTATTTGGAGAAAGAAGCACTTAGATTTGGATATACTTATTATCTTTCAAACCATTGTATGTGCAGTATTCATGGATCACACATATGACATGTTTTACAGTTTAATTGGAATTATTAAAGTAAAAGTGGTTTATTTAAAAGTCCCAATGTCCTTACTTTTAATCCCAAGAACTAAAGTGTTCACTGTCCATTTGAAAATATCAGTAGCTTTCCTTAATGAATACTACTTTAGCTACAAATTATGGTAACATTCAAATTAGCTGAAAAGTGACCTGAGATGGTGTGGCATCGTTTAGTATTTAGTCTGCTTTTTTTTTTTTACATCTTTGATGTTCTATTTTTTTGTACATTTATCATTTCATTGTTAGACTCTAAATGTAAGTTCTTACTTTTCTTAATACCTTTATCAACTATTTATATAGACAAATATACAAATAAGTACTTTATTCCTTTCTCAGCAGTTCCTGCCTCTGTACCTCAGTACATTACCATCTCTTCTCAAGACTTCCCAGTGTAGCATTCTAGTTTATTTTTCTGTTTATCCTCTTGAAAATAAAATAGGAGACATAATCTCAACTCTGATATATTATGGTATAATGCAAGTCAATAATTAATTTTAATTGAATTAGTATAGATTGTTTTCCTGCCCATTACTCCTAATGTAAAACAAATAATTGGAAAATGGTAGCCAATTTTTCACTTCCAAGCATAGTCTAAATTAATATTTCACAGTTGTCACCATAAACAAAAGTTGTTTGAAAAACAATTCATTAAATGTGTTAGAAGAATGTTACCTATACTTGAAATATAAATATTAGAAAAAGTAACTGAAGTTTCATTTCATAGGCTTCTATGTACCTGAAAAACATTTATATGCTTTTTGTGTATTTGCAATGTGAAAATTCCTTTTTAATATCACTGAAGATGCTTTTATTCACGTAAACAATTGACTGTACTTCTCATATCAACTAATCATGTCCTGATTTCTAATATCTTTCATATCTGTCCATATGTACCTCCATTTAATTATAACTTACATACATACCAATAAAAAGGAAAAAATGAATATGCAGATAATTGGACAAGTTAATAATATTTAGAATAAGTCTTGGAATTTTTTATTGGACTGATAATTTTAAAGTCCATAGGTGTCAAATAATTTCTGGGATTTAGTTAGAACTTATTCTGATTTTGAAGTTATTGTTGCTTCATGGCTTCCACATGTGAGTGTTTCCTCAGTTACTCAGTGTTTGGGTTTCTAATTGTTGATTTTGTTTTTTTTCAGGATGTTTTGAATAATTTGGGATCTTGTGAACTAGATGAAGATGATCTAATGCTTGATCTTGAATTTTTAGAGGAACAGAATCTTCACCCTTCTGGTAAGTGTTAAAGAGATGCGTAATATCATACAACTCCTACCCTGGTTGGTAGCTTTCACTGATATACTAAACACTGTTAAGGCTCCCTTCAGTCTTTTCAGGCCTCAGTTTTTATAGTCTATATGCAAAGAACATGGTGGATAGCATGGAGACATGATTTTGTTGGCTTAAATGATTTTAATGTCTTTTATAGAAATATAAATCCAGTTGAAAGATAACTATGAATTTAAGAAAAAAACTATAAAAAGCTTTCCAAAATAGAAAATATTCTAGTTAAATACTTAACAAACAGGTTAATGTTTTCTTCTGTTTTGTGGAAGAAAACAATAATTATAATCTTACTTTTTATTTATTTATATAACCAAATGGAAGTTTTGTGGATCTAAGATTTTCCATTCAAAATCTTAGCCACTTTCTACATAGGTTAATGTTGATACAATAAGGTTGACTTCAAAAGTAATAATTACCAGTGACAGTAAAAAACACATATCATAAACACATATACACACATGGAATTATAGTGGAGGTAAGTAAGTTTGTGATGAATGACTTGAGGGAGGCTGATATATTTATAATAGTTTAAATTTATATAAAAGCATAAAACATCGTGTCTCCAAATTCCAGAATTAATTTCATTAAAGTAGGCTATAGGAATTATTGGTTGTCCATTCAAATTTAGGTATTTGACAGCAAAGGTAAACTTTTACACTTACTTTTTTGTTGCTAATAATGCCTTTAAGTAAGTCATTTTCAAGTGGATATAGCATTAAACTAAAGCTTTAGAACCTAAAGACCTACTGCATACATTTAAGAAAACCAATCTCTTACATGGTAATGTCTTCATTTTTAACTTATGGAAATTAGACATAACCTCTGTAGTTATTTTTAGTTGTAAAACTTTCTGACAAATTTTCATTTATGTGGTATATTTGGATAATAGATAATAGCAATTGTCAAAAGAAGACAATAACCAATAACAATGTTGATATTTTCTTATACTCTATTTGAGGTTAATATCAAAAAAGAAACTGCATTTAAATATTTTTAGATGAATACCAATTGAGAATAAAAATTTATTGGAATATTTTTCTGCTAGTTGATTTGACAGATATCCTTCTAAAAATGTAGGCTTTCAGATTTTTATGCAGATGGCTTTTACAACTTAGACCCAACAACTTAACTTCTAGATATTCAATTCTATGATACAGGCAAAAGACAAAATAATACATGAATATAACTATTTACTGCAAAATATTTATGATGGAAAAATATTGGAAGCACCTGCAATGCCCATCAATAGGACACTTATTGAATATACAATGGTATACCAAAAGTCATTAAAAAGAATGAGGAAGGTATCCTAATCTGCTGTGGCATTATTGTAAGGACATACTGTTTGGTTTTGTTTTGTTTGAGATAAGGTCTGGCTCTGTTGCCCATTCTGGAGTGCAGTGGCATGATCTCAGCTCACCAGAGCCTCTGCCTCCTGGGCTCAAGTAATTCTCCCATCTTGGCCTCCCAAGTAGCTGGGATTATAGGTCCCAGCATGCTACCATGTCTGGCTAATTTTTGTATTTTTAGTAGAGACAGGGTTTCACTATGTTGCCCAGGCTGGGCTTGAACTCTTATGCTCAAGAGATCCATTCGCCTCGGTCTCCCAAAGTGCAGAGATTACAAGTTTGAACCACCACTCTCAGCTGATTGTAAGGATGAATTGTTGATAGAGAACTTTTCTAGGATGCATTAGAGGGGGAATACCAAACCAAACCCACTGATCAATCCTCTAATATTACAAAAAGTAATAGCTATGTACTTTGCCCCTCTTGATGCATTGCTGACTGAAGTACAATAGGACAACCTCTGAAATTTTACATAGTTGGTGGGAGTGTAAATTACTTCAACCATTGTGGAAGACAGTGTGGTGACAAACCAACAGCCAATATCATACTGAATGGACAAAAACTGGAAGCATTTCCTTTGAAATCTGGCAGTAGTCAAGGATGCCCTTTCTCACCACTCCTATTCAATATAGTACTGGAAATTCTAGCCAGAGCAATCAGGCAAGAAAAAGAAATAAAGGGTATTCAAATAGGAAAGGAGGAAGTCAAATTGTCTCTTTTTGCAGACGACATGATTGTATATCTAGAAGACCCCATTGTCTCAGCCCAAAAACTCCTGAAACTGATAAGCAACTTCAGCAAAGTCTCAGGATACAGAATTAATGTGCAATAATCACAAGCATTCCTATACTCCAATAACAGACTTAAAGAGAGCCAAATCAAGAATGAATTGCCATTCACAACTGCTACAAAGAGAATAAAATACCTAGGAATACAACTAACAAGGAATGTAAAGGACCTCTTCAAGGAGAACTACAAACCACTGCTCAACGAAAAAATAGAGGACACAAACAGATGGAGAAAAATTCCATGTTCATGGTTAGAAGAATCAATATCGTGAAAATGGCCATACTGCCCAAAGTAACTTACAGATTCAATGCTATCCCCATTAAGCTACCAATGACCTTTTTCACAGAACTGGAAAAAAACCACCTTAAACTTCATATGGAACCAAAAGACAGCCCTCATAGCCAAGTCAATTCTAAGCAAAAAGAACACAGCAGGAGGCATCACACTACCAGACTTCAAACAATACTACAATAATTAAAACAGCATGGTACTGGTACCAAAACAGAGATATAGACCAGTGGAACAGAACAGAGGTCTCGGAGGCAACACAACATATCTACAACCATCAGATCTTTGACAAACCTGACAAAAACAAGCAATGGGGAAAGGATTCCCTGTTTAATAAATGCTGTTGGTAAAACTGGCTAGCTATGTGCAGAAAGCAGAAACTGGACTCCTTCCTGTTAGGTCTTAAACATAAGACCTAACACCATAAAAACCCTAGAAGAAAATCTAGGCAAAACCATTCAGGACAAAGGAGTAGGCAAGGACTTCATGACCCAAACACCGAAAGCATTGGCAGCAAAAGCCAAAATAGACAAATGGGACCTAATCAAATTCCACAGCTTCTGCACGGCAAAAGAAACAGTCATTAGAGTGAATCAGCAGCCAACAGAATGGAAAAAAATTTTTGCAGTTTACCCATCTGACAAAGGGCTGATATCCAGAATTTACAAAGAACTCAAACAGATTTACAGGAAAAAAACAAACAAGCCCATTCAAAAATGGGCAAAGACACTTTACAAAAGAAGACATACATGAGGCCAAGAAACATATGAAAAAGTGCTCATCATCACTGGTCATCAGAGAAATGCAAATCAAAACTACATTGAGATACCATCTCATGCCAGTTTGAATGGTGATCATTAAAAAATCTGGAGACAACAGATGCTAGAGAGGATGTGGAGAAATAGGAACACTTTTACACTGTTGGTGGGAGTGTAAATTAGTTCAACCATCGTGGAAGACAGTGTGGCGATTCCTCAAGGGCCTAGAAATAGAAATTCCATTTGACCCAGCAATCCCATTACGGGGTATATATCCAAAGGATTATAAATCATTCTACTATAAGGACACATGCACATGAATGTTTATTGCAGCACTGTTTACAATAGCAAAGACCTGGAACCAACTCAAATGCCCATCGATGATAGACTGGACAGGGAAAATGTGGCAAATATACACCATGGAATATTATGCAGCCACCTAAAACGATGAGTTCGTGTCCTTTGTAGGGACATGGATGAATCTGGAGAACATCATTCTCAGCAAACTGACACAAGAACAGAAAATGAAATACTGCATGTTCTCACTCATAGGCGGGTGTTGAACAATGAGACCACATGGACACAGGGAGGGGAGCACTACACACTGGGGTCTGTTTGGGGGAATAGTGGAGGGACAGTGGGGGGTGGGGAGTTGGGGAGAGATAGCATGGGGAGAAATGCCAGATATAGGTGAAGGGGAGGAAGGCAGCAAATCACACTGCCAAGTGTGTACCTATGCAACTATCTTGCATGTTGTTCACATGTACCCCAAAACATAAAAAATTAAATAAAAAAAAAGACTTCATGCTGCATGGAAGCTGGGTGAGGCATGTGACTGCCAGCTTTCCCCAACTTCCCTGGCAAGCTGTATGACTCAGCAGAGGCAGCCATAAACCCCTGGGAATATAACTCCACTAGACTGGGAACCACACCCCTATTCCCTACAGCAGTCACAGCAAGACTTGCCCAAGGAGAGGCTGAGCTCAGAAATGCCTATCCCTGACCCACCTGGTGATCTCCCTCTACCCTCCCTTGTAGCCTGAGACAAAAGTTATAATCTCTTGGGTGCTGTCTTCTGTCCACAGACTGAGAAACCTGAATATATAACCAAGTGTCCTTAGGGCAAGTTGGTATCCTCTCTATAGTACTGCAGATGTTGTACTCTTGAAAGTGCCACCTCCTGGCTGGAGGCTAACACAAAACCAGCATACTAAACAAAAACGCAACCAAGAACCCTCACAGAGTCCACTTCATTCCTTTGCTACCTCCACCAGAGCAGGTGCTAATATCCATGGCTGAAAGGCCTGAGGATGGATCACATCACAGGACTCTGCAGACTCAGCCCAGTACCAGCTCAGAGCCCAGTAGCTCTGCTGGGTCCCTTGACCTGGAAGGGCAAAAACAATCACTGCAGTTCAGCTCTCAGGAAGCCCCACATCTAGGGAAGGGGGATAACACCATATTAAAGGAGCGCGCTGTGGGACAAAAGAATCTAAACAGCAGTCCAGGAGTCCCGGATCTTCCCTCTGACATAGTCTACTCAAATGGAAAGCAACCAGAAAAACTATTCTAGTAATATGACAAAACAATATTTTTTAACATTCCCAAAAGATTATACCAGCTTACCAGCAGTGGATTAAAACCAAGAGGAAATCTCCAAATTGTCATAAAAAGAATTCAGGTCGATTTTTATTCTAATCAAAGAGGCACCAGAGAAAGGTGATGTCCAACTTAAAGAAATAAAGAGCATGATACAAATATGAAA